GCCCCAAGGAGCCCTCGCCCAGCCTGACCCGAGTGGGCGCGAACTTCTACAGCAGTGTCAAGCAGCAGGACTACAGCGCCAGCGTCTGGCTCCGGAGAAAAGATAAGCTGGAACACGTAAGGACCACTGGTTCCCCGGGGGCTAAGTGGTCGGAGCACGCCGCACTAGGAGTGTAGGGACTCTAGTGGGGACCCCAGGCCAGGTTGCCTGTATCCTCTGTCAACCCTGTACATTTTTGCCTAATGGCTCAATTGCGTGGAGAAAAGAAAGGTTCGCTTTCAGGCACCCCAGTTCGAGCATTCTGGGGGACCTCCTGACTGGTCCCTCACTGTTCATGTGCAGTGTGTTATTGGGGTACCTGTGAGAAGAGTGGTTGATTGCAAGGGACTGGGCTTTGCACAAGGAAGGTTTCAGAGGGATGTTTGCCTGGGTCTTTGGAGCCCTTTCACTCAGTGCAGAAACTACAAAAACGCTGCAATAAAGTTGTCGCTGGTGATCCAGAGCTTTTGGCAGTGTATGATGGGATGCTAACAGGAGTTTTTAGAGAGCTTTCCCACCTAAACCCAAATGGAAAGTGATTCTGAGCTGACAAGGGTCAGACCAAAGGTCCCCAGCTATCTGCGACTCCTCAGCAAAGTGGGAACCAGTGGATGTGCATTGCCCTTCCCCTTTTCTCTCCTGGGTGAGGACTTGTGTCTTTGGCTCAAGTGTTGAATCCCTAGGACTGGGCATTCTAGAAAGAAAAGCCCTTCCACAAGGACCTTTTGGGAATCCACACTTAAAAATCTGACCCTTCAGTATGTCCTTAAGCAAATGTTGAAATTAGGAGTGTGCCAGCAGCAGGAAAAGAACCTCTGCTACCCTACAGAATCCAAACTGAGTCTGTTAATGAAACGTGGAAGTTTCCTAGTATTTGGGTCACCCCGTCAAAAAGATAAAGACAGGAAACTCGACTCTCCCAGCGCTGTGCCCACCTGAATCCCGTGTGAGCCCCCAAAGTCTTTCCTGAGCTTTGCCCACCAACAGTGTCCCTGGAAAGAAGAGTGGAAGTGGGTATTTCTGTTAGAAGCCGAAAGGACTGCGCGTGTCTTTTTTTGAGGACCTGATTAAGTCACATGAATGACTAATTCTAAAGCCCTTATTTAAAGATCCTATTTGAGTTGAGTAATAGGCTCTGTTTGGTGTGGAGAGAGTCAAAAGGATGTCCTGGAGGGGAGGTTGTTGAAGGGATTTCGAGGGCTGTCGTGCTTGTTGGATGTTTGAAAGGTAAAAGCGATACCTGTTTAAAAATGCCCACTCTAGGGTGATGCTTGCAGGGATCAGTAATGGAGAGGATAGACAGGAAGAAGTAGCATCTCCACTTAGCTCTGGACGCTCATGAGAAAACTAGCCCCAGCCTCAGGCCTCAGAGTGGTGATGGAACATGCTTCATTTTTGTTTCGTCATAACTGTGCATTTGCAGTGGTTGCTTTAGGCTGGCCCATTTCTTTTATACTTTTACCGAAAATCAATAGTGCAACCTCCTGTGAGCATGTCATCCCGAGTCCCAGCTGCTGCTGCATGCATTATACGGAAATGCTATCCCACGGTTTGATTTACATTGGAAGTATTAGGGCTACCTAGTGGACCACAGCAGCTTCACCTCTGCTTTAAGTGTGGGATGCTCGGCTCTCCTGAGGAGGAGAGATGAAGCGAAGGGAGGTCTGGTTATGCTTTACAAGTATGTGAGCATCTGTGCTTTCCCTCACTCAGATGCCCTAAAGAGCATTGCATTCATTAAAAAAAAAAAATCATGTGCCCCATTTGATGCTGAAATTAGAGCCTCATTTGTTTTGCTTTTAAAACTATGTTTATATGAGATGTGGGTTCTACCTTCTATATTTACCTTGAATTAGAAACAGAGCTTTTGTTTCAAATGATTTTTGATTTACTCTCTGACCCCTTTGAAATACTAACATCCTGATGAATTAGTGTTTATGAGCATGTTATGAAAAGTTGAAGTCATATACAGATACAAATTATATTTGAATTCAAGCACTCGGTAGTTATATGTCCTGTTTTGTATGCTATGATGTTTACGCAGATTGCTGCTAATTTATAATACAGTATGCGAGGTTTAAAGGCCCAAAACAAATGTAACCTGGCATATAGTTGCTGCATAAATCCTGAGAATATCATATTAAGTTCATTATAAACAGCACACTGATGCTATGTGGCACCATCTAGTTTAGATGTTGCAAGGAGCAAGTTGTGGGTGTCATAGAAAGCCAAGGATGACTTAAAAACCACTCCTCTGCTCTGTCTAATCAAAAGGATGGCCACAGTTTTTATTATGTTGAAATAAATGAAGAAATAAGTATGATGGAGATCATACATCTGAAAACAGCTTATTCAGTTGTTTGGTGCTTTGAACACCAATTTAAATATTAAGGGAATAAATAAATTATGACTTCCAATGACACATACATTTTGTCATCACAAGTAACGGAATTCCCCGAGATGGAATGTGGCAGTATGTGGATTCTAGCCAGGCTTTAGAGGCACAGCTTACTCTGAAAGTCAATAACACGGTGTAAAGTGACAGCTAAATAATATATTTCTACCCACTTTGCTAAAAGTGAGAGTAATTTATCTCTTTCTTGGGCTGAGAGACATCAGATGGATCTCAGGCTATGCAAAAAGAAAGTGACATGAGTTGTATTGGAATACTTTCAATTGATCTTAAACTTGATTCCTATCAGTAGTTAGTTGATATCTGAAATGAAGATTTGTAAGTACATAAACGGCTGTGACGGTGCATGCCTATAATCCCAGCACTGGGGTGCTGAAGCAGGGACAGCCTGGGCCGACTGGTGGGTTCTGAATCAATGAGGGCCACAGAGTGAGAATAAATACCTGGCCAGACATATGTCGTGTGTCTGTGATACCAGCCTTCAGGATGCCGAAGCAACGGGAGCTGTAGTCCAAAGCCAGTCTGGGCTACAAAACAAGATGCTGTCTCAAAAGACTGACTGAACCAACTGAAAGACAGACATAAATGTAGGGAATTTTCTTAATCCTAAATCACAATTAGAATGTTCGAGAAGGTAATGTGTATCCTGAACTCTGAACTTCAAACTCAGCTTGTGCATTTGAGGAAAGTGAAATTTTTGGTTGCATGCAGAATATTGTCTTTCTTATGAGTCTCTCTTGGTGCAGAGAGCAGTGGTCCTCAGCCTTCCTAATGCTGTGACCCTTTGATACAGTAATTTTGCTACTGTTATGAACCATAATGTAAATATCTGATATTTGGGATATCTGATATGAGACCCTACAAAGAAGTCACAACCCACAGCTTGAGAACCACTATCTTAGAGTATGCATCCTGTTCTGTTCTAGAATTCCTAAGGCTTTAGAGACTAGAGGGCTTGTAAAGGAATGTCAGTCTTACTTGTTGTAGGATTCTAGTATTTTCTTGAGGGATGATATATAAAGGATTGTGGTTCAGTAAAGCAAGCTGGGCAAGAGACACCTCTAGAATCTCCCTAGGTTGGGTCTCTTTGAAGCTCTTGATCTTCTCAGGGGACAGTCTGACATTTAGTGTCATTGGTACTATATGCTGTTATTGAAGTTTTTGCTATATTTTTCTGTTGGAAAGAGGGTGAAATAAGTCTGCTCTTTCCACTTTTCAGTTTCGTGCCAGCTGTGTGAGTTTCCAGGTTACATGCTTTCTTCCCTGTGTACTCCACTGGGTCTTGCTAAAATGGTTGTAAGTAAAGGCTCTAGTTAGAAAAACCTGAATTTGGATTTTACTTCATTTTCAGTAAATGAGGCAATTACAGGTGAAGGGCTTAAAGTATGTAGGGTATACAATCACATTTAAAAGGTCATGGTTTTGCAATGGTGATTAAATGGGATATTCTCTGTCTGTATTTCAGGAACAAATATCCTAATATGTATCAGTCAGATGTTTACATCACCCTCCTCATCTGCACAGGCTGGTAGGGATTCTACTCCTCCGAGTCTTCCTGATTGATGGAAGGAAACGCCAATCCTAGCGCTCATTGCCCCTATTGCCATGACAGCTTACAAGTACTAGAGATGGCTCCTGAAGCGTCTACCCACAAGTGATGCATCTGTAAAGCCAATATCTATTAACCAAAGAAAGTTTCATGGCCAAGTTTCACTTGAATGGGATGAGAAAGAGGGCCCAACCCACACCAGATGTACAGCACTATAGAATGTAAAGCACTCAGTGTAATGTTAGGACTGTACTAGAAGACCAATAGTGCACCTAAGGTAAAATGACTTCTTCAGTCTTCCCTTATCTCTACCTGAGCACCGCCACGCCTCCCACGTTTCACATTAACATCAGCTTCCCTGTGCCCTAGACCCAAAGCATATGGACCTTTGGGCCACCAAGATGTTTCTAGTCTTTGGTTTTCCAGAAGTGTGACTCTTCCTGGACAGTGGCTCTTTTGCTTAGCCCCTGCCTGGTCACTCTCATCTGATTTCTTTGTTTATCATGATCTCTGCTGGCCAAAGCAAGCAAAGCCAGCTCATTACAGATATCTCACATCCTTGTTTCCTTCTTGGCTTGAGCTGATGAGATGAAGTTGCAAGATTAGTCACAGAATCTCTTTAAACTGTAAGGAGAAATAAAGAGTGGAGATTGGTTTAAGAGTAAATGACAGGAGGCTGGAAGGATGGCTCCGTTGGTAGAGTACTTCCTGTACAAACATGAGGGCCCAAGTTTGTGTCTCTAGCATCCACATAAAAGCCCAGAGATGCAGTATGTGTCTGGAACTCCAGAGCAGAGATAGATGGAGACAGGCAGATTCCTGGAACTCCCTGGCCATCCAGTCTAGTGTACCATGCTCACTAAATGTCTCTCTCAAAAAGAAAAAAAAAAGAGAGAGACACACAGCAAAGCACTGAGCCGAATTCCTGGAATCCAGTTGTTAGAGAGGGAGGAGTGATGAGCAAAGGGGTCAAGACCATGCTGGGGAAATCCACAGAAACAGCTGACCTGAACAACAGGGATCTCATGGACCCCAGCCTGACAGCTTGGAAACCAGCATAGGGCAGAACCAGCCCCCCTGCACTTGGGTGTCAGTTAGGTAGCCTGGGCAGTCTA